AAGACCAAAACAGTCGTCTTCCTCTGTCTACTGAACATACGCTTCCACTTACAGAAGAATATACAGTTCGCTTCCTCTATTATATTATCTCTATGAGCAGAATCTGCTTTGCAGCCGAGGCAAATGTGACCGGTCACTAACTGAGCACTGTGTACTTCGGCACATTGGCTTCGAAGGGTCGACCAAGCACATTCTGCTTGGCTACCAGGCTAACCTAGTCTGAAAGTAGCTACTTGGGTCAACAAGCTACAGTAGCTGTGCAGCCAAACTATACTGGCCGTTTGTTTCAGTGTGAAATAATGATGAGGCTGGCAAAGGGTTGAAGATGGAGGCAATGAAACATTCAACCCAATCAAAATAACGAAAACGTTAAGGGGGTTTTGGGGAAAAATAAATTTCTCACGACAGTCTTAAAAAAACTACAAGGTGTTGATTTTCATGATGTTAACAACAGATTGAAACTTCAGGAACCATAGCGTCATAGTTTTTGAGAAAAAGAATAGCAAACTTAGGATCTTATAAACAGAAATTCGTCACTCTTAAAGTTCAAGTTAGTAATATTAGTTCAGACGTGTGGAAAAAAATTGTAATGATGAAAAATTGTAAAAAAGTCTTGAGACCACGTAAAGTACAAAAAATAAAATTCATTGTAGTTAATAAGAACCACAACAGCAAAAAAAATAACAGTAATACTATTAATAATATTATGAAAAACAAAAGATTCCTAATCGTCAATATTTTCATTTTTGTTTCAGTTACTTGTGGAGTTGGAGTAGATTTTGCTTTTGATGGACACCAACTTGGTTTTTACGTTTTGTACGACATAAGCTCAATATATTTTTTTCTGTTAATATTTTTTAAAGTATCATAAATGCATGTAAAATAAAACTTTGTGGCTTTTCACATGTGCTTTACTTATGTTACAACTTCTTATTTCTAGGTTTTTTTCAGCAATAATTTTTCTTCTAGAAATCGAATGGATAATAACTTTTTTTATTAAAATTTGTCAAAGGTGAGATAATCTTGATTTTAATAGAAATTATAGGTTATATTTTTAATTTTACGAAAGTTAGATTTTTTAAGCCTTTATATTTTGAATTTGGTNATATAACTTTTGTTGAAGCATTATGCTACACAATTTTTAAAAAATACTCATTTTAAAATAACTTGTCTTTAATTTATTGCTTAGTCGATGCTAGTAAAATTATTTAACTACTGGCAATTAAAGTTATTTTCATTAGATTTCATATAAAACATAAACTTACACTAAAAATAAATAAATTTGTCTGTTATTAAAGATGTAGCTTAATTTCTAAAGAAAAAAAAAAAAGAATTTTTACGAAAAAATTTAGTAAAATGTATTATGAAAATTCTTTTATACGAATTGTTGGAAAAAAAATTATTGTTGTTTTAATAGGGATGATGAAAATTTCGAAATTCGCCGCTGGTCTTTAACACTTGCAACTAGAAGTGGCTGGCGCAGAGTAATATTTTATCTTCCAATAGCTTGTCTTCTGGCTTGGAAATCCTTCGAGCTCTGGCTTTCATTTTTTGACGGTACGAGACTACGATTAATAAAATATTGTTTTAAATTCACGATTGCTTTCTGTTGGAAACTAATTATTTACGGTTATTAAGTTATTAGGGCAGTACAAACTTACTTATATGTATTGCAACGCCAATCAACATCTTAAAATTTTTGTAACAACGCGAAATGATAATTGACGAAATATAATGACTTAAAACTTTTTTTACCAGACTTGAAAAATGCTTTTAGTTACAAAAAAAAGGTATGACTTTAGTCGTTTTTAGGTTGTATAAAGAATTTCTCAAACTGTAACAATAGAATTTTAAAAGACCTAATATTTATAAAAAAACTTTTTTATAACAACGTAATTAAATACACTGTATTATGTGTCTGTTCTTAAACGTCTATTGATAACATTTTCAGTAACAACTTTATTTTTTGAAGCAAAACTTCAACTAGGTGTACATATACCGTACTAACCATATCTTACGGGCTTTTTTTATAAAAGTGTACTTACCTTAAGGAAATGTACACTGTTCCGTCAAACGTTTTATTTTCTTATTTTTCTTATTTTCATGTTGTATTTAAAAACGAATCCCGAATTGTCAAAGTAACGATCAGTTGATTTGTTCTGTTAAAAATTTCTTCTTCGGTAAATGTTATCATAACAACGAGAAAATGAACAAAATGGAGCGATTGTTTGATCGATCGTCACTTTTGTGTCCTGGCAGCAGCTAGGAAAACTTCTCTCTTATCATAACCTTAAATACATTATCTTGCTTATCCTTTTTTTTTGTATAATTTTGAATGCAGTGTCATGATCGTTTGTATACCAAATTTCAAGTTGCGATTCAGCTGAACATAAAATTTTCATTTGTGGTCAAAGGTGAAAAGACATCCATTATGCTAGCCAGAGCGCTCGGCATATCAGCTATCAGTTACTAAAGTTTACTTTCCCTGTTTACGGACAACATTTAAATTCTTTATGAAACCAGTACGAAACTGTCAAACCGGGCTTTCATCACCTACAGTATTTTAAACCACTGATTAGTGACCAACGTACACACATACATAGGGGAGACCGGGGAATGACAAGCTTATTAGGTAACTCTAGCACCTCAGTTTCTCCCGAATAAAAAAAAATATTTTCAATTCAAACCTTGTAAATAACAATTTCTACTGTGATTACTTTTTTCCTCTCCAAGTAAAACACTAAACAATGCAACGAAAGTTTAATGAAAAATATATAAAATTTTATCTCATTGATTGCCTGCTCTCGCATTTTTAATCGCACGCACTCAATACAAACGAACCTGTTTCAAACTATCTTATGCTGTCTCTATTGTTGATTAAACCTTGAGCTCCAACATGCTTTTTTTAAATTTGCTGTGGGAGGCATGGAAAAAAAGTTATTTAAAAAATAATAACGTGTTCTATACAGGGAATGACTTGCACCTTAGGGCGGGGCACTACTAGCACGGGAGGCCTCTATATTTACGATGAGCTCCGACCGTAAACAGATTTCCTAACCTTATCCAGACATGTAAACATTGTGATATACAGTGATACACCGTGATACACAAGATGATATAGTTTTTAGGATGTTTATTGTTTAAGCAAATTTTACAAATGGTGCGTCACAAAAAAAAAGTAACCGAGTGAACTGGGATGAGAACTAAATGTCAATTAAAAATCAAAACTATGATTCTAAAGTTACAACTTCAATGTTATTTTAAATATTTGTTATATGTATACATGTATAAATGCTCTCGTCATTTTTTTATTTCAATTTTATGTGTACTCAATAAAAAAAAACTTCTTTTCAAAATTCATTTTACGAGTTACCCTAACAAATCATCGTGATTTATCAGGCTAGTGGTACCCCACCCCCTGCTAGAAGTACCTCACTATGGGGCACCACTAGCAGTTTTCAGAGGTTTGGTTTGTGCCGTTCTTAAACAACAAGTTTTATTATTTTTATATAATTTGCTTGTGTTGTGATAACTACATTCTCTTTTCTTTACAAATCGATTTTTTTTGTTAATCTTACTTTAAAATTAAAGCTGTAATTAGCTGTTGAAGAAAAGGTGTCCATCATTCCTTGGTCTTCCCTACAAGATTTTTTTCTTTCTCTTTTATTTAAATATTTTCATTGCTATGGTTGCTCGCATCCCAATTTATTTGTTATTACTGTTATTTAAAAAAGGGGTTGTTTTATTATTTTTGTCTGTTTGATTAAAAAAAAAAAACTTCATTATTTTAAGCTAAGGAAAAATTACTTGGTCTCTTGACTTACCGAGTAGCCAAAATCGCCCGACTTCTATACATGCACTGTTTTTATTTAAAAGATAAACATAGAAATATATATAGCAAATATAGGATAAATGTAAAGACTATTACATAGGAAATTTAAAAATTGGCTAAATTACATAAGCATGGTTGTACTAGAGTAGTTTAAAAATTCGTTAAAATGCGATATTAGAATATCTTTTTCTTCTTCTAAAATTAGCTTAAATGTTTTAGTTACCATCATTTNCAGGACTCATTTTGGTTGATATCGAAATAATATTATTTGGTGATAATTGTTTTTTGAAATGCTAATCTGTTCATAGTTATATAAGATTTCTTGCATAAATTATTTGCCTCTGTGGTTCTTGCTTCCAAATCTGTTTTGTTTTAAAATGAATACAGAAAAATACAACCTATTATAAGAGCTTACATTGTAGTTTGTAATTTTATCATTTTGTAAATTTAAAAGTCATTCAATATAAAGTATTAAACAGACAGCTTCACTCGTACCTGCATTTACATTTAGAGTCAGATATGACAGATCATTATGTTAAAAGCTTTAATATTTTTCCTACTAAAATTAGTATTTTTGAACCACAGCGTTCTGGTAAACTTGTGGAACCGATTAAAATAGTTTTTACCCTTAAAACTTCCATTTAGCTTACCTTTGCGGTCATTACTTCCAGTCATAAGAGGAAAAGGTCTCATAATTGTCAGTAAATTTGAAGTTATTGACTATCGAGTTAAAAGAAAAAGATACGTATTAAACAATTAAGTCCACATTTTCGTTACCACTTAGTCTGGAGTGAGCTGGAATCCATGTCAATTTAGCAGAGTTGTTTGGATTAGATGTGAGGTATTTTGGATATTTGAGTTTGATATCTAAGACTAGGTTATACCTACATTTTAACATAGTGTTTGGAAGAGGATAAACTTATTAAGGGCGTTAATCACAGTTAGCGGAGTGGGGGATTAGAGAGCGGTGAGAAGAGATTGAACATGTGGCAGCACTGGCAACTGTTTTTCATAGACAAGTATACCTAGGTACATGCACCTGAACCTGTTTTTTTTTATTTTATTACAAAAATAACTTGCCAATCCATCTCAGAATTTAATATAAATATTAGTTTACTGTATTGCATCGCACAAAAAAGAATTGAACGAGCATCCTTAAGGAACTTAAGGAGTCACTAAGAATGAAAAATTTGTTATTAGATTTGCTGAAAATGAAATCGACAGCAGATAATTCTGCAGAGAATATGGACGTCTTAGTACGAAGACTTTTTTCTTCCACAAATTCATACTCAGTGCAGATAGAAGCTGAGCCAACGGTGCTCCAGCAATTTTGCTGCCATCAGTATAGATTGGTATAAATGGCAATGGATTGATGTGATTGGATACATTGGCTTAGAGCAAGACTTGACTTAGGTGTCTTTTTAAGAGTGTGTCTAAAACTTATATTAGTAGGAATAATAGTATGTTGGTAAAGAAGTGATATCTGTAAATATTAAAATTTAGATTAATAATAATGTTCTAACCATCGTTAAAATCTAAATATTTACATATACTGCTTGTAATCATTCTGATATGCTAAAGGTATTGTTAAATTTAAAGTAGAATGAAAAGTAGTTGTAGACATTTCAAAACTGACATTACTAAGTACTTTAATTAAGTAGCATAGACACAAAAATCGTGTACGCTATCTAATAGAGATCAGTCCTGATTCGGCTAGTAAAATATTTGTGGGCATACTCATACGGTAGTCCAGTGCATATAAGCTTCGTGTACAAAAAACCCCAGCGCTAACTTGTAGCTAGATGATGAGTCCGCGTGGTTACAAGAATACACACAGTAGCATGGTTACCTAAAGTCAATAATTTTTTTCATAAATATCAAGACTCTTTCTAATAGTCTGATCATCTCAATTAGAATCCCTAACTCCTTATCTTTACGATGATGTTTTTTCAGCATAAGATTTTGCTTTAATAAGTTGTAAAAGAGACATATGTTCCTTTGTTGCTCGTACATGTGAGCTACATTGTATGTGTCAATAAAGTGTGTAAGAGATGTAGAGAAGACTTAGTAGTACAAACACATGCAATGTAGCTCACATGTGTGAGCAACAAAGGGATATACATCTTTTTTACAACTTATTAAAGCAAAATCTCATGCTGAAAAAAATATCATCGTAAAGATAAGGAGTTAGGGATTCTAGTGGAGACGATCAGACTATTAGGAAGGATCTTGATATTAATGAATAAAAATAATTGACTTTGGGCAACCATGCTACTCCATATTTATATTCTCGTAACAACGTAGACTCACCATTTAGCCACAAGTTGGCACTGGTGTCTTTGTGCACGGAGTCTATAACATACCAAAGTATTATATTTTCCTACACGCCACGTGCGCGGAGACTCGATTGCGAACCATCTGTTGTGGCTCTAAAGACCTCGATTTACACACGCGACTCACAGCTCATGCTTCGCACTTGTGCGAGTGCGTGTAAGTATACGTCAAAGTCGTTGCAGACCCACATTAGATGGCTTCAAATTTCGTTCCCCATGCAGGCGCGCATGTTGAATCGAAAAGTTGTATACATCACACGCGCGAAAGGTTATGAGACTGATACGCGTACGTCAATCGAATTTCCCTCGCACTAGTATCGTAATGTGCTATTTTCGATTTTAACAATTTTTTGTACTTATCAGAAAACTAGATGAAGTCTCCATAGTCAATTATATATCGGATAAAGTTTTTGTATAGAGTAAGTAGAGTGTTTGGATGGGCAGCCCACCAAGTACCTCATAGATATTTAATTATGTTTATGTCAGACTATATCTTCTGTGCTCATAAACTGAATTGTGACACAAGTGTCTTATGTCACCCTATTTACTACGTCGATTTCAACTGATTCATTAAGTAATAACAATTAAGGGAACCGCAACGCAAGTACAAAATAAACGCTAAAAAGCTAACACAATGATGCGGAAAAAACAAACTTCTAAATTGAAACGCAATGGTTTAACAGCTAAATATAAAACTGATTTGTTATGAAAAACGAAATTTAATCGTTGACAAAATGTACTTTAAATAAGTGGAGATACAGTAGGCTGGAGTTCCAAAAATAAATAAAAAAACAGACGATTTATGAGTCTTTGATAAAGATATAATTTACGGCTCAATTTCTCACATGGACGAAATTTTGAACGTACATATTGATTTTCTTTTAACGATCTAGCAACGATCTACAACGATTGTACAAGCAATTAAGATAAATTGTTTGCAGGACTCATTTTGGTTGATATCGAAATAATATTATTTGGTGATAATTGTTTTTTGAAATGCTAATCTGTTCATAGTTATATAAGATTTCTTGCATAAATTATTTGCCTCTGTGGTTCTTGCTTCCAAATCTGTTTTGTTTTAAAATGAATACAGAAAAATACAACCTATTATAAGAGCTTACATTGTAGTTTGTAATTTTATCATTTTGTAAATTTAAAAGTCATTCAATATAAAGTATTAAACAGACAGCTTCAACGGCTTAGTGGTTAGCGTGCTAGCCTCCTGGCCAGAAATACTCGAGGGGTTGTGAGTTTGAATCCCGTTGAAAATTATTGAAATTTTTTTCTCGGACTTTTTTGATGGGATGAGTACTCAGGATACCGAAACACTATTCATCCGATTTTTGAAAACCCAATAGGTAGTCAATTTTTCAGGCGATCTCTGGCCCTCCAGAGGCTTCCTATCTGAAGGAAATTTAACACATGTCCAGCTTATCGAATAAAGTCACTGTTGGTTTTAAAAAGGTTGGTACAGCGAGTTTAGATGGTTTATTTAATATCTTTCCATTAAATTTGATAATAGCTGTAGTATGCTTGAGATAACCGCTGGGCTCTGTAAATAGTACCCGGTAAGATAAATGACCGAATCGTCTGAGGGAAGCTTTGCTCGAAAGACTTACATACTTGGAACATAGAATGGTAATTACGAAAAAAGAACAAGAAAGGTAAAGATTAGGGACATAAGATATACGCAAACCCTACAATGGGTGTACGTTAGAATCTTAATACAATACAGTAAAATATGAAGTATTGAACAAAATTGTTAGATTCCTGACAATTTAATTAATGATAATTCTAATTTCTACTTTCAAAATACGTACTTACTTTGTAAAAAAGACAAGTCTTTTCAAAATGCATAAAAGTATAGAAATACACTGTTTAAAGCACGCCTATTGTGTTTTAGTTTTTTTAATATTCAAATAAATTATTAATATTTTGTTTCAGCTGGATTACTTGTAATTTTATCAATGATTCATTGTGCACTTAACATATTAAACATTCAGTTTGCGGGTCAAGCTCAACAAGCATCAAATTCAATGAGTGAAAGTATTTTACAGCCACCGTTGAACTGCTACAATCAGTTTGACGATATTTTGGTAAGTGAATTGATTAATAAATTTTTTGTTGTTGTACGTTTTATTTAGTGATCATTATTTTGTATTCTATTCTCGATGTTTGTCGATACTATCTCATGGGTACATATAAATTGATTCCATTTACTTTTAACAACTTATATGTATATTCATCGCTTACGAATATAAATTTACCACCCGATAGTGAAATACAATTTTTTCGTGTCTTACATTGTTGGTTTCTTTCTATCATGCAATAATTCGTATTATTTTTCTTCAATCAGAAGAAAAATTACCGTAACTTCACGGTAAAATGTAAAGCTAAGATTAATTTTTCAACTACAGAAAAATTTCCGTGAAGGTACTGCAAAAATTAGAGTAAAGATATATTGATCACAACTTTAGCGTTGCTTTTACAGTAAAAATACATTTTTTTTTCTCTGTGTATTTACTTCAATAATATCATGGTATTAGTTGGTACTCTGACAATTACAATTTATTCTATATTTTATCAAGTTGTCAAACATAATATACTACTGCACAAAAAGAGTATGAATTCTGTTTTCTACTCCCTATTTGGATACTCGTATATTTTTTTTATAAAATTTGTAAGAGAAATCATGATAACGTCCACTAATATGTAAATAAATATATAAAAAAACAAGAGAAGAATAATCTATAGCGTTGTTTTTATTATTAGGAACAATATTCCGATAAAATTTAATACTTAAAAAATCTTTAAAAAATGATTTATTCTTGCAGAACTTGATATAAAACGTTATTTTAATAATTTTTCTGGTGATACTATACGCTACTTATAGTTGAACACTAATGTCGACATTTAAATTTTGTTGATGTGGTTAAACTCCACAATGAGCTCTTTTACTCGTAATTCTTAGAAACGGCAAATTTCAATTCTTATAGAAGACATGCTTCAATCTCGTTAATTTACTGTAAAAAGAAAATACCTTCTATTGTTAAGAAAAAGAATTAATGATTATTTTAATTAAAATTTAAAAAATATGAGAATTTAAATTCAAATGTCGAAATGTCAAGCATTCTATAGTGGCCCACCAGAAACGATTGCGAACCATCTGTTGTGGC